ATCCAAAATTCATGTGGGTACAGTTATCAGAAAGCGTTAGATGTAGTTGATAAATTTTTAAAAATCCAATAAAGTACTTATGACTTAAGAATGAACAACTTTAGAAATATTTAAGGAATTGTTTTATTTTTAAACCAAGTTTTTTTTTCAAAAACCATTAGAAAATCAACATAAGTCAAGATGAAAAATTATATCTACTGAATATGAGCTCTCAGGGAAAAAAAGTTCTAGTTGTCTTCTCCTCTAGCCTTCTGTTCCTGAATAGCTAAATCATGTATTTATTTCCAGTATTTATGCTCCACTTGTGTTTTAAAAAGCAGAAGATAAACATGATCATATAGGAAGATTTAAAAATGATTGCCAACAACAGTTAAGACAAAATGCCAATCAAGTTATCAGCCATTTAAAATATATTTACTTACTACTTACCTAGTTTTATATGCTGCTGTAATCCATGAAGGCTCAGAACAGTTTACAAAATCTTCTCCAATAGGAGAATTAAGACAATACATCAAAGTAACTAAACAGAACAATTACAATTATAGGAAACTTTGTTCCAAAGAAATAAACACGCATCACTACATATTAGAGCTGAGTGGCTTTCTCTTCACAACAGTTCCAATTCCTCTTGATGGCTTTCCGGAATATTAATAGGAAAACAGCAAATTTAATTTCAAAAGAGAAGCTACTGTTCCAAAGAAAGGGGACACTACTGAAAAGGCTTGTCCTGGGATCTCTGTAGATGACATTCTCCTAGACAAGGGACCCATGGAAACCCCACTCTTTCAAATGTTATTAGACAGGTAGAAACCAATGGAAGTAGGTGATCCTGAAGATATCCAAGTCCCAAGCTATGTAGGGTTTTATAAATGTCAACCAGCACCTTGAATTACACCTAAAAAGTAATTGATAACCAGGGCAGCTCCCAGAGCAGAGACCTTCCACGAACTAGTGGCATCCATTGCTACTCAAACCCACTGTATTCTGGACAAGTTGAGTTTCACAGTAGTCTTCCATGATAGCCCCATGCAAAATGCATTACAGAAGTCAAAATGACAAGTTGTTCAGTCGTTAAGTCGCGTCTGACTCTTCATGACCCCATGAACCATATTGCGCCAGGCCTTCCTGTCCTTCACTGCCTCCCTGAGTTTGCTCAGTTTCATGCTCATTGCTTCAGTGATGCTATCTAACCATCTCA